TGCTATCCTTAGACTATCTTTTTAAACTATTATTCCTGTGCTCGCCTCTGTTTTACTGGTGTCACAGCAGACGTATCTATCCTCCACAAGAGTGAAAAGAACTGCCTCTTATTCATCTTGCACCTCCAGTGCCTAGCATATAATGGGCAATCAAGAAATGTTTGGTGAACTAAAATAACTGTTTCTGGACTGGTGGCAGCAGCAGGGGAGGCCTCTGCTAATTAGAGATTCCACTCACCCAATTATAAATTCACAGTCGGCTTCACTTACCCTTACTGAGCCCTTACTGGGTACAAAGCCCTTCTCTCTAGATCCGTTCACAATGCTCTCAGCCCCACTTGAACTCCAACCAGCAATTCTTCAACATGCCTGAATAGCTAAGTTACCCACTCACAGCAGGTCAGATGGGAATGTGGAAGCAACGAGTCATAAAGGAGGAGAAAAGACTGTTTTTCATGACACTGCAATGACAGGAGCGACAGAGAGGAGAAGGGCAAAACATGAACGGCAGACAGCTCCCAGGGGCCTGGGGTTTTCTGGCATGAAGTAAAGATCCTCACTCCTTGAACCTAACTTACCATGTGAATGAAGATAAAACAGACTTGATTTCAAAGGGAAGCAAAGAAGGGATGACATACTTTAGGTCAACCTAACTTTTATAAGTGCTTAGCAAATTTTTTATCTTAACAAAACATAAATTCATTAAAAATATTTTTTTCCTTTTATTTACTTCAAGGGAAATAAAAACATTCAATGGAGATGGGGGGTGCTTTTGACTATGCTTACGCAAACTGAACTATGGAGCTCCAGACATGACTGTTATTATCACTACTGGGAGAAGTCTAGAGATTTGATTACATATCCTCAGGTATCTACTTTCTGAATTGGTAGCAACACATTATTTTCCTTAAATGACTCAACAAAAATACTGCTTCTATCTTCCCTTTTAAGTTTGATAAAAGTAGGGATATTAAGAAATTCTATTGTTTGCTTCCATTAATATAGGAGGCATTCATTCTTTTAAACAAGTAAAAGTAAATCAAATATAATTTTAAGCAGTACTTTTTATTTAACATTTCTATCATACCAATTGGCACTTCTACAACAGATTTAACCTTTAAAGTAAAAATAATTCATTGAATCATAAAAGATCAGCAGCCAAAAGTTAAAAGTGAATGACTAACTTTTACAGATAAATGTTCTGGCCAAGAAAATTTAAGTTAATTTAAGAAGCAACCGATAAAACATTCTTCACACTTCTAAGAAAAAAATCACTTGTTGAAAACCTTCAATATGTGAAAATCTTCTAAAAAGTACTACCAAATAGTATGATAACCTTAAGGACTAAAGAAAAACTAAGATTAAGAACTATTGTCCCTATTTTATGGATAAAGAAATTGAAGGACTTGAAACAATATATTATCCGTATTGTAAAATAATGTGTTTTTCTTTTGAAGAGGTGTGTGTGTGTCTTAAGGTTTGGGTTTTCCACACACAGGTATTGGTATTATGTAAACATCAGTATTTTGTTTGTTTTTTAGGTTCTAACCTCTATTCACAAGGATCAGGCAGTCCATAACAAAGTTTAATAAAACAAAGACAGACCTAGGTCAAAATAACATAAAGAGAAGAAAAACTGGCAACTATGGGAATCAATATATATTTTTGTGACTAATAAATTTTGCTTTTGCTTCTCTGACAAGGCAAGCATAAACAAAAAAAGAAAGACATAAGTTACCAGTTTACATTAATAGAAAAGACAGAATATCAGTTCTTCAAAGAAATCACATAATTTTAAGATGGAGATATAAAATGACAAATGATTTATGATATATTGAGATGTAAAAAAGGATATGGTTTCTAATTACATGGAGACATACTGCTAGTTTACACATTCAAGAAAATAATAGGTTGTAATCTAACATTCCTGAGGTTCCTGTACACATGTTGATCACGCATGTGAAATACTACTTATCAAAACACTTCCTTCAAAAAAATAAATAAAGCCATACTCTCCAAATTATCTTCCCTACTGAAATACAAATAGCAAAGAACACGGCATCTAGTAGTAAAATGAACTACTGATACACATATCAACATGGCAATATCTCAGAGTAATCCTACTGAAAGCAGACAAAAAAGCATATGAGTTCATAGATACCAAATTCTAGAAAATGCAAACTATATCATGCGTATTCATGTCAAAATGTATCAAAAAACTTTTTAAAACATGTGCAACTTATTATGTCAATTATACCTCAATAAAGCTGTTAAACACCCACACAAATATATATACACACACATATATATGAATAAACAATAAGAAATGTACAAAATCTATATGAGAAAAAGACTCTTAAAAGACAAAGATGTAGATTTCAAGAAATGGAAAGACAGAGCATGTTATTCCCAAGGTGTGAAGAAAGTCCTTCTATGATTCAAAATCCAGAACCAATTTTTTAAAAAGAAACTGATAAAGCCAGCTATACAAAAATAAACAAATGAAGGGGTTCCTGTGGCTCAGTCGGTTAGCGTCCATCCAACTCTTGATTTCGGCTCAGGTCATGATCTCAGGGTCATGGGATGGAGCCCCGCATCGGGATCCTCGCTCAGTGGGGATTCTGCTGAAGATTCTCTCTCCCTTTCCCTCTGCCCGTCCCATCTGTGCTCACGCTTTCTCCCTCTCTCTCTCAAATAAATAAATCTTTTTAAAAAAACAAACAAATGAATAAAAGATTTTGCATAGTCAAAAGCGTCATTAGGAAGAAAGAAAAACCTGAGGGAATAAAACTGCAACTTGTCTTGGAAAGTCAAAGTCCTTAATATATAAAAGCTTGTAGAAATCAGTTAAAAGAATAAAAGACCAATGACCCAAGAGATAAATGGATGATAAATGGATAAATGCCTGGACTGTTTATAGAAAAAGAAATAAAAATGACCCTTAAAGTTACAAAAAGATGCTCAACTTTACTCATACAGAAAAACAAATTAATACTACACTGACATATCATATCTCACTTATCAGAATGGCAAAAATGTGAGGTTTGACTATAAACCCTACTGCTGAGTGTGTAGGAGAAAACACATTCTAATAAACTGCTGGGGAGTGAATGAAATGGTATAGCCATAAAGGAGAATGCAACAACATCTATGATTTAAAATACATTTACTTTTTCAATTTAAGGATAGTTGACAGACAATGTTACATTTAGTTTCAGGTGTACAGTACAGTGATTCCACAACTCTAAACTTTATGCTATGCTCACAAGTGTAGCTTCCATCTGTCACCATATGATGTTATTACAATATCATTGATTATATTCCCTATGCCGTACGGTTGTACCTTTCATCCCCATGACTTAGACATTCCTTAACTAGAAGCCTGTACCTCTCACTCCCCTTCATCCATTTTGCCAGTCCCCACATCCACCCTCCCTCTGACAACCTTTTTGATACAGCAATGCTACTTAAAGAAATCTACCCTAGAGACACACTTGTACATGTATGAAATGACATATGCACGTTATTCATATCACATAATTCATATTAGCAATTGAGTCCAACAATAGGAGACTGGCGAATAAACACACACTGAGACACTCGTAGCCTATAAAACAGAAGGATGAACACCTCCACATATGGACATGAAAAAATCTCCATACCTATTATTCCGTGCACATGGGATATATATATATTTTTTTTTTTAAAGATTTTATTTATTTATTTGAGAGAGAGAATGAGATAGAGCATGAGAGGGTGGAGGGTCAGAGGGAGAAGCAGACTCCCTGCTGAGCAGGGAGCCCAATGCGGGCCTCGATCCCAGGACTCCAGGATCATGACCTGAGCCGAAGGCAGTCGCTTAACCAACTGAGCCACCCAGGTGCCCCGGGGATATATTTTTAAGTTATAAAAACAAGGTGTAAAACCGCATGTGACATACTACCTCTTATGTAAGATGTGGGAAGAGCAATGAGAATCTACGTGCTTACCCGCTTATGTTTGCAAAAACTAAAATAAAAATGGAAAAAATAAACCAGAGAACAGGATGACAGGGGAACATCTCTGAATTACATGTTTACGAGGAGAAAATAATTCCCAAAAGTAAAAACAAATATAACTGTATAATAAACTGTTAACAGAGAAAAGAATTCTTTCAAGTGACTTTGAGGCACAGTTTTTTGACTGTATATTCTTTTTTCTTTTAAGATTTTATTTATTTATTTTAGAGAGAGAGAGAAAGTACATGCAAGAGAGAGCTTGAGTGGGGGGAGGGGCAGAGGGAGAGAGAGAATCTCAAGCAGACTCTATGCTCAGCACAGAGCCCAACGTGGGGCTCAAGCTCATGACTCTGACATCACCTGAGCCGAAATCAAGAGTCGGATACTCAACTGACTGAGCCACCCAGGTGCCCCTTGACTACGTATTTTTAGTGAGATTTAGTCTAAGTCAAAAAGAACTGCCAAGAAATCTTGAACTTTATCGGTTATTGATCACAGTGATACAAACACTACTATTCTGAAATTACTTAGTATGCGCTGAAGGTTAAAGCTAATGAGCAATTAGGTTGATATTGCTAAAAAACAAGATTTTCTATGAGCAACAGTACAAAATATGAGCAAGGAAATACAAGTTTAAAATCAGAAATACAGCAATCTGAACGCTTTTTTTAAAATACGTATTTCCTAGTTCAATTACTAAAAGAAAAAAAAAATATGACAGTAGCTATAAAGGACCTCTTTGGCCTGATTTTAGTTTCAATATATATCCCCCATTACAAGTAACCAGAATCAAAAATTAATTAATTAATTAATTAATTAATTAATTAAAGTAACCAGAATTTCTAGAGAAATGGCCTGTTCCAGAATGCACAAAATAAGCCTGGGACATAGTGGCTGGAAAGAAAGCTTTCAAAGACTAATGAGACAATGAAACCAGCTTAAAAGGATCAAAATAAAATAAAATACTATTTATCATATCCCAAGGAAAACACTGATTCTCACCATATCTATAGCAAAAAGACTGCTGTCATCCCAGATATCTTCTGAAATTGCTTCACCAATAAGTATCATATCCTCTGCAAGCAATTCCAGAACTCTTATTATCATTTGTCTACTACCTAGGAATATAAACAGGAGATAAGAAAAAACGTTAACTTTCAAATGAACAGCTAGATATCATACTGCTCAATCCTCTAGTCAGTCATGTCCCCAAACTCCTATTTCTCTTTTTATTTTTTTGATGTCTTTAGAATCACTGAAAGAGATGAACAGGGAAGTCACAATCTATAACCACCATTAACATCTCTGTTCCAATCACAATACTATTTAACCACAACAAATCCAATGTGCTCATAAGTGAGAAAGATATTCAAAAAGAAAGTAGCGAAATCTAACTAAAAACGCTGTGAGGTTGATTAAGATTTTTCTAATTCAGAGACCGTCTGTGTTACATATAATATGTGACAAAGCACCAGGTTAGGTTTAGAAAATGCATTCTGTGAATCTCCCATTTAGTGCTAGAAGGCTTAATCCTTGTCAGAAGTATTACACCACACCTGAGCGGCCTGGGAATCTGAGCTTCCACTGGACCAACTAAAGTAATAAATGTGCATGATGGCGTTTGCTGAAGAAACTTCAAGAAAATCCACCTGAAACAGGTTCTCAAGCCTCTATTAACTTAAAAGTCTATAAAAATTCCAAAAGAGGGGCGCCTGGGTGGCTCAGTCAGTTGAGTATCTGACTCTTGATTTCGGCTCGGGTCATGATGTCAGGGGTTGAGCCCCACATCGGCCTCCCTGCTCATCAGGGAGTGTGCTTGAGGATTCTCTCTCTCTCCCCAACCCCCGCCCCTGAACTGCCCCCTGCTCATATGCGCACGCTCTCTCTCTCTCTCTCAAATAAGTAAATAAATCTTTAAAAAAAAATTCCAAAAGAAACTGTTCTGTCACACCCACCAAAGCAATCTCTTTTCTCCACAGAGACAGAATAACAAAGGAACTCTACTACCTGTAAGGTGAACATTCAATCAAGACTTCCCCGTCCCACATACCAAAGGTCAATTTCCAATGAATAAAAGTAAAGCAAACTACCAGATCATAAAGGTCTAGATTAACTGTTCCATTAGAATGGCTGGAGCAAGTCCTCTTAGAAATCCCTTATGATATTGAACAATTACAAATTATGCAATAATTTATCACAAAAGGGCAAGAGAACATTTAGAAAATTTTATGTACCAAGATATAACTTTATAATTATCAATCTGACTTTTTACTGCAAATTAAGAAAGGTTAAATGAGAATTCATTAAACCTAAAACTGTTCTTCTCAGTGTACCATGCAGACAAACATATATACTTTATGATGCCAAAGTTCAGCCTTTCTTTATTTCACATTACTAGTACATGAATTCATATGTGCTTCTAACTCCTGGAAGCAGAGTTATTCAGTCAGTGGTAAGTTAGGGTTATTTGGTTTTCCTCAGGATAAAAACATTTTCAACACTTCCCAAATACAAACCTCCATCCTGCTTCCCGCCCCACCACCTCCAAGCAGGCAAAAATAAGACACAGCGCTTGAAGAACCATTCAAATAGGACAGATTCTTTATTGATACTCTATCCAAACAATGCTCATGGCATCCACATTTACTTAGGAGATAAAAAGACTATATTAAGTGCTTAAAAATTTGTATCCCAGGGGCACAAGCATCTGCCTTCGGCTCAGGTCATGATCCTGGGGTCCTGGGATTGAGCCCCTCACATGGGGCTCCCTGCTCAACAGGTAAGTATGCTTCTCCCTCTGCCCCTCCCCCTGCATAGTTGCACACACTCTCTCTCTCTCTTTCAAATAAATAAATAAAATCTTTAAAAAAACAACAAAAAAAAGAACAAGAAGCATTTGTATCCCAAAAGATAAGTAAATACAGATTCTAAATGTCATAACATAGGCGAAAAAAAGAAAAATAAAAGTCCCTGAAAACAGACAAAACAAAGACAAATTATATAAAAAGAACTACAACTTCAAAAACTAACCTGTTCTTAAGAGAGGAACTGCTGATTCCAGAATAGAGACACAGAACTGGGGAAGACTGAGCTGCTGGAATTGTAGTTCCAGAGTGTCTTCAGTCTCTAGCTCCGGCAGATCTACATGAACCACATCCAAAGGCGAATGCACAGATATCCGAGAGTTCACAGGAGCATGACTACTACTTCCACTGTAAAATAAAGGATAATCCTTGAATGTGGAAACAGCCCACAAACAGGTTTCCTGCCTCTCTGCTATCTGGCATATTAGAAGCTTCACTTTAGACACAACTACATAGCTTCATGCAACAATCCTGGTCAGATTTGAGAAACCTTGACAAATTTATAAGATTGAATTTCATAAAGATGACTCGAAATTGTAAACGAAACCAAAAATGCATTTATATATTGCTTTTTAAAATGACGTTCCTGAAATTCCTCTAAGAGCAATCAACATGAGCACTAATAACCCATTCATTTCTAGAGAAGAGCAAGCCAATTCATAACAAAGTTCTTCTGTAATCAACTTATAGAGGCCAAACTAAATCGTTTAGTTTCCTAGATTTTCTGTGATTTTCACCAAATGTTCTAAGTAAGCCAATGTTAGCAACCGAAGATTGCTAGAAAATGCCAGAAAAACATGAGGAGAAATGGATTACTTCATTTAGTACATTCAACATCACATCATGATTTTGAAAATATACCAAAAAGTGGAACATCCCATCTTCCTTGGCTTTCTTCATAAAAATTCTTACCCAAGTGATGGGGTGAGGATAAAGTGCTATAGAAAGGGCCGAACCTCGGGCGCCTGGGTGGCTCAGTCGGTTAAGCGACTGCCTTCGGCTCAGGTCATGATCCCAGAGTCCTGGGATCGAGCCCTGCATCAGGCTCCCTGCTCGGCGGGGAGCCTGCTTCTCCCTCTCCCACTCCCCCTGCTTGTGTTCCCTCTCTCACTGTGTCTCTCTCTGTCAAATAAATAAATAAAAAATCTTTAAAAAATTAAAAAAAAAAAAGGGCTGAACCTCACATTTACAAATTTCTGACTTTTAATATTATCCATAAGTGAAGCTGAATCACAGATACACTAATGCTACCGAACATGGAAAACTCCAAAAATTAAATATATGTTTTGTCATTTCTTCAATTTCAACATCCCAAAATAGGAAAATGAGGTGGGCTTCTCTCCAACTCTAAAGGGCTCCATGAGGAAGGTGCTCAGTGAGGAGTGAAAATGCATGCACATGCAGCACTCTAGATACCGCCTAGAGAACGAGACAGAAGGCTTTCTACGAGTAAAGAGGAAAGCTGTGTCTGCCCAACACCAGCTCCCACAGAAGGATTAGGGGCGCAGCCTCTCAGACCATACTGTCCACACCTCTGCCCTCCTCTTTACCAACTGTATAAACGGGGGTAAGGCTCACTGCCTTTCCAAAGCAGGCTCGTCTGTGAAGTGATGATGATGGTGATGCCACTGCTATTACAGGACTGTCAGGAGGACAGCTAAAGGAGATAACGCATGTCCGGCACTTGGCGTAAGACCAAGCACGCAGCCAACCCGAATCAGTGTGAGCCTGCAGCCGCAGGGGCACGAGTGAAAACCAAGCCAAAAACCAGTGTTCATCTCACCGAGCATTTATTAAGACACCACCAAAGAAGAAACCAGTATGTTCATAAGATGCCTGTAGCCTAAGGAAGAGGTAACACACCAACACCATGCCAATCCCCTTAAGCAAAGTTGATATATAAAAACCTGTACTTACACAAATAAGTAAAATATCGTAAATTGTGCATCTTAACGGAATCTTCGTTTTATAGTCGCTAATCATTCTCTTTAATAAATACTGATGCATTTAAGTTATGATTAGACTTACAAATGTGGGTTTAAAATATCATCAAAATGTATCTATCATCTAAAGCTATGCTTTTAAACTAGATCACATTTCATTTGTGGCTGATAAAAACAATTCAAGAGGTCAGAATTTTCATTCTTTTTTTAATGAAATAGAAAACAAAATATAGTTCACTATGTAGCATATGGAATCAAAGTACTGTTTTGTGAACATCTTGTTTTGGCAGGGACACACACACAGGTGTGCACACATGCAAACACACATACACACACACGTAAGAGCATATGTCTATGTACAGAGTATTGAGTTGAATGTAGTATTATTTCTTACTGTAGGTCATGGTCAAAAAAGTATGAAAACAACTGGTTCAACATGAGGCCAATACTTATGGTAATGTTCCAAAAGAGACGACAGAGAAAAATATTAATCTCCCTCTGAAACTAAAACACACACACACAAGTTAACCAGGCTTTTCAACGGTCACCTGGAAGACACGGCGTCCCAATCCTGGCCATCTCCTCTGGGTCGCTGGCCTGTGCGTCCAACCACAGAAGGCCGGGGGCTACTGCTTCCTGGAGAAGGATTCTGGGAATGATGAGTAACTCTAACTTCATGACAGTAAGACAAAGAAGAATTTTGGGAAACTGTATCTGAGGGAAAAAAAAGAATGAAATTATCCCTCAATAGTGACAAATAAGGATTATATAGTTTTTATATGTCATTCTTCCAAAAGACATTAACAAAGTTAAGATAATGGAAACACTTCTATTGGGGTAAAAGTAAAGGTCAACCTTTTCTGCGAGTACTCACTTAGCACATTTAGATTTATAACTAACCTGATTATATGCAGCCTTCTAGCCAGCATTATTGACTTGTAACATTCGGGACTGCCAAAGCAGAGTAACAGGTCACTCCCCTGCTCAAAATTCTACGAGAAACCCTACCTCAAACTACATGTAAAAATGAACTCAAAAAGTAAACCTAAATATGAGTTAAAACCATAAAACTCTTAGCAGAAAATACAGAGGTCAGTCTTCATGTCTTGGATTGGCAATACATCCTTAGACATGAAACCAAAGGCAGGACCAAAGAAAACAAAGATAAACTGGACTTCATTGAAATCAAAAACTTTTGTGCGTTAAAGGACATTATCAAGAAACTGACAACCTACAGACTGAGAAAAAATATTTGCAGATCATGTATCTAAAGAGGACTTTATAACCAGGATATATAAAGAACTCCTAAAACTCAACAAGAAACAAACAAACAAACAAACAAAAAACCAAAAAACCATGAGCACCTGGGTGGCTCAGCCGGTTGAGCTTCCAACTCTTGATTTTGGCTCAGGTCATGATCTCAGGGTCATGAGATCAAGTCCCACCTTAGGCTCCGTGCTCAGCAGGGAGTTCTGTTTGAGACTCTCTCTTCCTCTGCCTCCTTCCTCCCCAACTCCCCCCCACCCCCCCGCAAGCTCTCCCTCTCTCTAAAATAAGTAAATAAAATCTTAAAAAAAAAAGCCACCCAATTTAAAAATGGGCAAAGGACTTTAAAAGACATTTTTCCAGGGGCACCTGGGTGGCTCAGTCAGTTAAGCACCTACCTTCAGCTCAGGTCGTGATCTCAGGGTCCTGGGATCGAGCCCCGCAGGGAGCCCGCTTCTCTCCCTCCTTCTACCCCTCCCCCCTGCTCATGCTCTCTCTTGCATGCTCTCTCTCAAATAAATAAATAAAATCTTTTAAAGATAAATAAATTAAATAAAATAAAAAGGGAAAATAACAAGTGTTGACGGCTCGTGGAGAAACTGGAAGCCTCATGGGTTGCCAGTGTGGACAGCCACTGTGGCAAACAGTTTGGTGGTTCCTCAGACAGCTAAACGTAGAATAACATATGACCCAGCAATTCCACTCTTAGGTATATACCCAACAGAACTGAAAACAGGGGCTAAAACAGATATACGATATTCACCAAAACATTATTCACAAGAGCCAAAAGATGAGAACAACTCATGTGTCCATCAACAGATAAATGAATATGCCAAATGTGGGATATCCATACAGTGGAATATTATTTATCCATAAAGAGGAATGAAGTTCTGACACAGCTGAAACATGGATGAACCTTGAGAACATGATGCTCAGTGAAATGAGCCAGACACAAAAGGACAAATATTGCATGACTCCACTTGTATGAGGTCCCAAGAACAGACAAATTTAGAGACAGAATGTAGATGAGAGATTACCAGGGGCTGCAGAGGGAAGGGGACATGAAGAGCATGGCTACACGGTCACAGATCTTCTATTTCGGGTGATGAAAAACATTTGAGAACAGATAATGGTGATGGTTGCACAAGAGGGTGAAAGCAATTAATGCCGACAAAATTGCACATTTCTAAATGGTTATGAAGGCAGATTTTATGCTATACATATTTTACCATGATTTTTTTAAAGAATTAAGTAAAATAAAGGCATCTGCAGAGGGAAAAAGAAAGTTCTCCAAGAGCTTCTCACTGCACTGCAAAGAAAATATGAAACACTTCCCAAGATCTATAAATCCCTGTACACTGTGGCCCCTAGCTACCTCTCTGATCTCACCCCATCCCCTCTCTGCTCCCCATTTCCCGATTACTGCACTCCACTCACACGCCAGTCTGGCTTTCGTTCCTCAGGCATGTCACCTCATTTCCGAGGCCCCCGACCCTCCAGGAATACTGTTTCTGCAGCTCTTCAAGTGGATGGTTCCTTCTCACCCTTCAGGTCACCTCCTCTGAGAAGCTCTCCCTGCCCATCCTATCCAGGTAAGCTGTACTTCCTGGTCACCTTCAGTCACATCACTCTTCCTATTTCCTTTGAGCACTTCTGATCTGAAACAAACTTGTTTACTCATTTACTACCTGTCCCCAACCTTATCTCAGATAAGCTCAGAAGGGTGGGGACCTTAACCGCTTTGTTCAGTGTTATACCCTCTAGAGACTAGAACATCAACTGGCATATGGTTGGTGATAAATAAACATTTAATACATGAATAAATCTTCAAAGATACTATTTTTATCAACATTGTAACTCTTATTCTGATGAAATATGGGATACCTACAGCTCTCTGTTTTCAGTCATTTGCAAAATGCTCTAGCTCAAGAATGTTAATGAGGAACCCTATACCCTCTGAGATCTGTAATAAAGTTAATGTACAGCATAAGTATTCAAATAGTATAGGATCAGTGAAACTCTGAACAGAATAGGGATTAACTGTGAAGCATGATGACAAATCACTGTAATTTGATATTCAACTTTCAATGTGTAAGTGCACAGAATTCCTAGGTTGTAAATACTGTTTTGACAAAGCCAGTCTAGTGCTCTATTTGGCCATTAGGTGGTGCTTTTTCCCTTAAAAGTCTGGCACTGCTATCATATAATAAATAACTACATCACAAGTTGCATAAAAATAGTTTTCATAAAATACAAATCGGGGACACCTGGCTGGCTCAGTCGGTAGAGCATGCAACTCTTGATCTTGGGTCATGAGTTCAAGCCCCATGTTGGGTGCAGAGATTATTTTAAAATAAATAAATAAATAAAATATACCAAAAGTTTAAAAAAATATATTTATTAAAAAAATACAAATTATTATTTTTCAAACCAAACAATCTATTAATACAAGTAACTTCATAAAATGCCCATGGTCCCACGTGAATAGCTGAACTCAGAATTCTGGTCCCTAGCTTCCAACAACACTATATGCATAAGAGAAAAGAAAGACATCTTGCAAATGGCTCTTATCAAAAAAAAAAGAGGATGGACTGAATGGAGCACTGGGTGTTATACGCAAACAATGAATCATGGATCACTACATCAAAAACTAATGATGTAATGTATGGGGATTAACATAACATAACATAACATAATAAATAAATAAATAAATAAATAAATAAATAAATAAAAAGAGGACGGGATCAGGAGTGGTTCTGTCATTCACATACTTGGTTTTCAAAGATAATCATTTAATTACATTTAGGAATGAGGAGTTTATGCTGTGAAAATTTATACAGTAAGTGTAACAGGGAATACTCAGAAGAATCTGTAAATACCACCAGTGACTAATGAATAAATAAACATAAATACCTTGTTTACTAGAGAAAAAACCCGGATCTCGGTGAAAGTTAAGTCTGTTTCTTAAGGATGTGCACAGCTGCTGCAAGCAAGACACTGACTGTAAAGCCAGGCGATGTTTTCCGTCTCCTCCAAAGGCCAGTTTCAACAGAGATAAAAGGCTCTGAAATAAAGAAGAGCAATGAAAATGATCCAGGGAAGGTGGATGTGGAGTTTCAGTAAGGTCAAATGAATAACCGACGGAAATAAAATAACTTGAAAGATATTTGTAAAACCAAGAAACAAGAAATAGGCAAAAATGACTTAGCATAATGCAAGAAGACGGGATAAAACAAGAAAATAAAATTTAAATAGACTAGTCAGTGTTTGTTGTATCTAAAATCTGATGGCTGAGTACCTATTCTGAGAGAACACATGAATTATTCCCCATTCAGAACATTAAGTTACACAGTACTTCTTAAAAATCACAGCAAGCCTTTGGCATCTCAAACAGCTAAATCATTTTGCCACCTTTTGGCAACTAACAGCTTTTCCTCTGCTATCTTTGGACAACTGCAACAGTATGTATTAATAGCTGCCATTCAGAGGCATCCATTCCAGCCCCGGGATTGGTGATTGAGGCTGTGGATATGCCACGATCCCAGACCTGGGATCCCAAGCTCTACTATACAAACTAATAGACCAGATTGCAAAGAATCCATCTAAACTGCTCACTACCACCTATTTCCACAGCATCTAGCACTGTGCCTTACACATCCTAAATACTCAAAAAGCAATGCTATTCTCACTGTTAAGAAGGGTTACTGCTGCCCAGCCTCAATTTCCAAAGTCTATTCTCCTCTTTAGGTGACTCATAAAAGGTAAATTCAAGGTGGCCAAACTGGGCCTGTATGTGTCAAATGAGACTACCTCCTATCTGAAGAACTACCACTATCCAAAGAAGTAAGACAGAAGTGGTTTCAGGAACCAAATACTTCATTTTTTTAAATATGGTAAATTCCTTCTGAAGGACTCCTACTTTGCAAAATTTGTTTCACTATAAAAAGTTCTCTATTTCAAATCTAAAACAATCACAGAGGATACATACCTGAACAATTTTTGGCCTTTGAAGGAAAATTTCAGCAGGAAAATCTTGCATGATTACATCCTTCAATAGTTCACAGGTGTTCCAAATTAAAGTGTGGTTACTACTTCTTAAAGAGCTACCAAAAAATACATACATACATAAATAGCATTATTTATTTTTAAACAGAGTTCATCTATACGGGATTGTAAGTAACCTAGTGGCATAATGACTCTATCAACAGTCCTCGGGTCTCAGCTGAGATTTCACTTCCCCTGGGAAGCCTTCCTAGATCTTTTCCCTAATCAAAAACTTTGGGGTAGGTCCTTCCTCCATATGCCTACATTTGGTACTAAGGCAACTGCATGTTGACTTTCTATCCCCCACTAGACCCTCCTCAAGAGCAGGCAGTACACAGTATCCACCAATGTATGCCAAGACTATCACAATGCTACAAGATGAAACCAATGAAGTCAAAGGGCACAGAATGCAATGAAATCTGCTAAATGAATGAGGAAGACAGAACATTTAATAGCAAATACAGAGTTAAATTCTAGAAATTAAATTCCTTACTGCTCTTCCCTGGTCTAGTGAATCAAGCTGGGATTCTCCTCTTATCCCAAACAGAGGACACCCCTCACCTTCTCAGACAATATATGCCCTCCTAGGGATTCAGCAACTGTTTACGTCCCACCCCAAGAATCCATAGCCCCTCTCTCACCCCAGCTCCAGTCCACCACCCACCAACCAGAGGTGTGTACTAGAAATCATATCTCCTCCCTGAGGCCTGACTCAGAGCTGACATCAAAACCACCCCTACCCCTGGGAGCCTGGGTGGCTCAGTTGGTTAAGCGACTGCCTTCGGCTCAGGTCATGATCCTGGAGTCCCTAGATCGAGTCCCGCATGGGGCTCCCGCGACTGCCTTCAGCTCAGGTCATGATCCTGGAGTCCCCCCTCTCATGTACTCCCTCTCTCTCATTCTCTCTCTCAGATAAAAATAAATAAAATCTTTAAAAAAAAAAAAAAACCACCCCTACCCCTTTCCCACGCAGACTCTACCTCTTCAATATGTTGTTCCAAGAGAATTTACTGATGCCATTGAAGTGCCAGCATCAAAAAGCATTTAACAGCATCCAGCTGTTTATCTAGTCCTAACTCTAGCAAGTTGGGTCTTTATATTGTCAACTGAATATACTATCCACTAAAAAAGACTGCATTTATGTTTAATTTTTTCCATTTTTATTAACTAAGGGCATAAGCAATGGCCAGTCAGAGAATCTGGTCAATAAGAGATGACTCATGCCACCAAGAAGTATACAAGATTCCAACCACAAAAACAAAACAAAACCTTGATGTGTAGCCAGATAATGGCAAATAGCAATTTTCTGCCTTGCTTTTTGAAACTGAAAATCATTCATATATTCCCATTACTACCTTTCACAGCCACTTAGTATCTGTTTTCCTGGTGAAAATGTGCAGTAATAGCAACCAGATTTAATGGCTATAAATGAACCAAAATACCTGACACACATCAGGTACCGTACCTTTCATTAGAGGAGAGAACATGTCTATCCGTTGTAGTCAGAGGTAGCCAAGGAAATGTAGAAAACTTCAAACACTTCACAGTCTGATTTACTGTTAATGGAACAGCAAAATTTAAGGGATCAAAGGCAATGTTGACAGACTCACAATATTAAGAGTAAGGCTTCACCCTTAAAAACAAGTCCTCAAAGTTATATCTTACAGTAACTTAAAATATACCAAACAAGGTCAGCTGCAAATTTGTTCCCTAACAAGATAAACAACAGAGCTCTGTTTTCATAATTCACACAGAACCATATATTATTATTAGAAGGGCATTAAATACAAACTAATATTGAATGACATTTAGAGCTTCCATTACATTTTCTATTTTATCCTGCTGCTAACCAGAACACAGAGCTTAAATTTAACATAAAAGGAACTGGCATTTGGAGATCTTTAATTGTAGAAATTAAAAATGACATAAACATAATCATATACTATATTTAATTAGTCATGTTCAAATATCCTAAATGGTGTTAGATGTTTAAACTTCTATGAAGATGACTTGAAGACCATAAGGTTGAAGATCAAATATCAGCACTCAAGATTAAAAGAAATCTGAGAAACCAACAGTTTTAAGCTACCCCATTCCAATTATTTTTTAACAGATCTCATATTGTACAAGTTAAGGTGGCAATGCTCAGAAACAGTATCTAGTATCTACATAAACCCTTCCAAGTGGCAAATATTCTTTCTGCCAAATGCTTTGAAAAGAGCATGAAATCGTTGAATATAGATAACAGCATTATTAAATTCCCAGTATAGCACAGTTGTTTCTTTCAAAAGTGCTAAGACCCGGGGCGCCTGGGTGGCTCAGTCGGTTAAGCGGCTGCCTTGGGCTCAGGTCATGATCCCAGGGTCCTGGAATCAAGCCCTGCATCGGGCTCTCTGCTCAGCAGGAAGCCTGCTTCTCCCTCTCCCACTCCCCCTGCTTGTGCTCCCTCTCTCGCTGTCAAATAAATAAATAAAATCTTAAAAAAAAAAAAAAAAAAAGAGTGCTAAGACCCAAGCAGGATTTACTTTCTAACAGAAAAGTAAAAGGTGGGTAGGACACACTTATACCGCACTCAAAAAGATGTGTCCAAAATAAGCCATATTGTCAATCCACAAACTGCAACTCACATAACAAAATGTTACCATCTCAATGGTCCCTAATGTTTTCCACCTTCCCAGCCCTGGACATACTCTCTCCCTTCAGATGTCTCTCACTGTCACTCAATGAAGCCTCTTAATCATAAACACAAAGAAACTACCATCTCAAAAACGGAGGCTCCCTAACAAGCGTAACAAAACTTTTTCAGAAAGAAAAGGTCTAAACAAGTTTTCAGTTCTTTCTTAGGCTGTTATTCAACCAGAGAGTTTCTAAGGAAGCATTTTAATAATGGAGGGCTTCCAAACGGAATTAAACTGAATACTTGACATAAGCAGTTATATCCTTGGACACAACCTTTCCATTGCAACTGTGCAGGCAATAAACTGTTAGGTACATGTTTACTTAATTATTCCCTAACTGCATCATCCAGAATAAAGGTTTTATCCTTCTAAGCCTCAGTGCCTTCATCAGTAAAATGGAGATAGTAACAATATCAATTTCACTGGAACGCCAGTGAAGATTCATTCATTCATTCATTCAAAGAATACACAGAGGGCCTAATAAGTTTTTGGCATTGTTCTGCTCACTGGGGATAAAGCAGTATTCACAGCTATTATTAAGCTTATAAACAGGGAGACAAAAAGAGGTAAATAAATACATAATTTCAGATTATGATGTATGTTAGGAAGAAAACTAGACATAGACAGAAAGTGATCACTAGCTAGAGTCCTCAGGAAGTTCTCTCTGAGGAGGTAACATGTGAGCAGAGACACAGCCAGACATGAAAAAACCTGGAAGAGATTCCGGGGAGAGAGAGAGGCTCTAAATCAGAACTCTTCAATCAACTGGATGCTGGGATAAAGATAAATGAAGAAACCCAAATGATCCTGAGTCTTTGGCTTGAGTAACTGGATGAACAGTACCACTTAGTGAGCTGGAGAATAAATACCATGACATATATATAGTGCATGGCACCGTTCCTGACAAATCTGTGTTCAGTAGGCTCTGAGGACTACTGCCACGGTCACACCCACCTCCAGAGTTGCTCGAATGCAGTTAGAATAACATAAAATGTTACCATTTAGACTCTACATCCTAAACTAATTTGAGGAAACTGAAACATTCAGTTCAGTGCTGAAACATTCAAGTTGGACCACAATATGTCTACACCAACGAAGAAAAGTACATTAATTTCTGATTTACCAAGTCAACAGCATCTACTCTCTCTCTCTCTCTCTCTCTCTATATATATATATACACACCCATTGGTCGTGGAGACACTTCCATCTGCTGGAAATTACTTTTGTCTTGAGGAAAATATCCTATTAAAATTTCAGGTTGTTGTGGCAATTCTGAGAAGAAAATATATATTACTATATTACTGGTTCTTTATTTGCTAAAAGTGAAATTTACTCTTTTCAAATATTAATGTTTCTCTTAAGTTTTACAATCATTTTAAAAACTAAAAAAATAACAGTATTTTTTTTTTTTACCTGAAGAGTCTCCTTATAGAGGAAAAAAATGTAAATGCTGAGCAAGTTTTTAATGGGGGGGGTCCCCTCCCTTTTAAGATTCAGCAAATACAACTATTTGTTGTAATAAAAACATCCATAATGTACATAAAGAATCTGTTACAAAGTATTTATTCAAGGGCTCATCTCTGCTTCTTAGCCCATCTCCTCCTCTCTCTTACTCCAGTTATGTAGTTCCTGACCACTTCAACCTTCGGGAATCAAGCACTATCTTTCAGTATCTTTGACGACTCTCTGTCACATGTGATTACAAATTCAGCAGTTCAGTTGCAATAAGAATGGGAACACAATATTGTTATTATTGCTATTGTTGAAAATTTGTTATTATTGTAGAAGTAATCTGTAAAGTAGTCTCAAAAAAGAAAATCTCTGGCATCTTTTAGGCCCCTTGACCAAAAAAGCAACGAATACAAATGTATCCTCCTCTGAATAACTGTAGAAGGCGGGGAAAAGGTCAAGCTCATGTAACTTAATGCAAGAAAATGATCTTTTTTTTTTTTTTTTTTTTTACCTAAGGTCCCTTTCCTTAGAATTAAGCACTAGAACCAATATATTTCTATTTTAACAGAATGCGTCACATTGATTCCAAAGTTACCAGTTTGTTTGGTTTGGTAAGGTGCAGAATATAGCGCAGCATCTTCTGAAGGAAGAATAAAAAGTCCATCCAGAATGCCATCAATTTCAGCCTGCAGATTCGGCTCCACATTAGAACGAAGTTTAGATAAGAATTCGACTGCGCCAAGATCAACCAAATGCTGGACTGCTGGGGAATACTGAAATAAGAAGAGAGTCTTGAGAATAACCATATATATCAAAATTTCTACACTTTGTCTTACAGCAACAAAAACATGAAATTATTTTTAGTATTCTAGATATTCCTTTTTTAAAAAATAAATCTTGCATTGATACATGTAAAAGTAAAGAACTTCCATGTATACGACATAGATCTATAGAGACATACATAACACTTATGACAGAAAAGCCCAGACATTAAGCACTAGAAATGCACACTATAAACTCCTATTCCTACTTATAAAATGGATTACCTCTCCCCACAGACTCTCACCCTATCCCCGCCAAAGAATGCCAAAGTAATAATCCCCTATGACCACACAGTGACTTAGTTTTGAAAGGTTACACTAGCACTCTTGACATTTAAGCCTGACAACTACTCTCAAAACAGGCTGAGGAACATAAATCTGAAAAACAGATACAGAAAACGCAATTTCACATACTTGAGGTATTTATTAATCATGGTCTGTACCATTAACTTTAAACGTGTTCTCTTTCATACAGACACATCTAATTATTAATACGCAAATAACAGAACAAAAAGAAAAACAGAATGACAAACATCAACTTCCAAAGATGATTCCAAAAAAATCAGAACACACCAAAACTCAGAAGTTCTGTTATTTCAGAGAGCACAGTAATGTGAGGTTCAACATTACAAATAAGATAAAAGGAAGCGGAGCGTTATATACCCTGAGGAATTAAAATTCAACATCTCTCGTTGGTTAGAAAAAAAGTTGTAATTATTTAACTTTCAAAAAAATGCTACAATTAAATGACTACGAAACACGCGCTCTTCTGATTTTATTTCAAAATGATCCTACCTTAACCAATCTGTTCAAAAGGCTGAGAACCTCTTCTTTCATTGGAACAGACGGGAAATTGAACCATTCCAGCAAATGGAGAAAAAGTAGCCTCTCCCGAACTAGATCATCGCAACAGACTAAGTTGTGCTCAACCTTGCAAAGAATATTCTTGAGAGCGCGTTCCCTGATCTCGGCCAGCTGATGACCTGTCAAAGTACAGCACACTGAGCTGCTGCCCAACTCCAGAGAGACGCCCCCACCCCCACCCCCCGAATTTACCCTACCACTCAGCTATTTACGCGGGGACGAGGGCAGGGTGAAGAGGGAAATAAAGCAAATTTTTTCACAGGCGGGCCTCTGCTGCATTCGGGACGCGAACTGCTCAGTTTACACCAAGTCCGAGATGGGTTCCCGGCGGCTGCCCCGGCGAGGCCAGGATCAGCGGGAGCCGTCTCGGGGTGGACCGGCCTCGAAAACGTTACACGGCCATTCTTAGCAAGCGGCCACGACAGAAGGGTGACTGCAGCGAGGGGCAACTCAGCCTGTTACCGAGTTTCCTGATGAGCCCCGTCAAGACCATTTCGTCCCGCTCCATCAGCCGCCGCCGGAGAATTAAACTGCCGCGCCACAGCGTCCGTGTACAATTAGTGTCCCCATAGAAACCCGGCCGGTCGGGCTGTTGAGTTCCGCAATGTAGCAGAGAACCACCAGACGAACAGGAGGCACCCCATGAGCTGCTGCAGGCCCCCCGCGACTCCACAGAAGCTTACAGTCTCTCTGTAATTACTACTACGCAGTTCCTAGACAGTAGTCTTTGTCGTAAGAACGGGAAAGAATGAGGAGACAAGCAGGGAGTAGAACCCGCCCCGGCCGCGGAGCACGTCGGGAGTTGTGGTCTTCGCCCATTTGTGCTTCCCTCCCGGAATTCCGGTCCCGCCACTGCACCCACCTTCCTCAGGTTCCGGGATCCCAGCGCGGGCTCCGGCGCGGACTCCCGCGCGGGCTGCAGAAGTCCCGGCAAAGCCGAACCTGGCCCTGCAAAGTCGCTCTGGCCCGGCCCATCTGAATTCTCGGCTCCCAGAACTTTACAATTTACAATGCAGAGTTAGGTTGGGTTTGGATTCCCGCACATCCACAACCGCCCCATCCCCGTTCGTTACTAAAATCACTTTAACTGTAAAATGTACCTGCAAAGGCAAGCAGTGTCCTCGGATACTGAAGTTCGCTACAAACAGGCAAGTCACAAAAGGAAAGGGGGTCGGGAAGGAAATAAGAGAACAGAAGAGAAAAAAGGGGGCTGTAGAAACAAAAAAAATGGGGGGGCAGGGTAAGGGTATGAATTGATATTTGAATGCCCCCATAGTTGGCTTTTGCACTGAACAAACAGAAGAAAAAAAAATTCTAAGCCGTGCTAAGAGCAACAACAAAATTAAATTTGTAAAATGATTTGCATTTTAGAGAACATTTTGTCTCACGGATGCTTTCAATTTCCCTTGGAAAGGGATGTCAAGGCAGGTATAATATCCACTATTATTTTGCAAAAAAAGGGAGCGTAAAATCAGAGAAGTTCTTCAACCACAGTCATACCAACTAGTTAAGTAGCCGATTGAGGGCCTGACCTTCATTTTTCTTTGTAACATTCGTAGGACCTTGCTGCTTCTGCGAGGTGCGTAGGCTAGAAAGTGGTGATGTTTGAGCTGGATCTTGAAGGGTAAGTAGGAATTTGTTTGCCAGGCAAAGAAATGGGGTAAGGGAATTCCTGCCAGAGAAAACAGTGCATGCAAAGCACGGATTCGGAATGGGTCTGTCGAGGTCAGGGAAAGAGCAATTCTTTTTTTTTTTTTTAAGATTTTATTTATTTATTTGAGAGAGAGAATGAGAGAGCATGAGGGGGGGAGGGTCAGAGGGAGAAGCAGACTCCCTGCTGAGCAGGGAAGCCCGATGCGGGACTCGATCCTGGGACTCCAGGATCATGACCTGAGCTGAAGGCAGTCGCTTAACCAACCGAGCCACCCAGGTGCCCAGGGAAAGAGCCATTCTGTGCGGCCAAATTACCCCTGGGAGGAAGGGAAGTGAAGGGGCTGCTAGCATGCTAGTTATTCTCCATTTGTCCCTCTGTGGTGAATAGGAGACATAAGTAGGAAATTGGAGAGTGGGAAGAAAAAGAGGTGTGGCTATTTAACCAATGTTCCACTAGTCCATACCTAAGCCTCACTGGCCAAGGCGGTATCGGGCTGCGTTTCTCAAGGCTCAGGAAAGAGAAGAGCTCCTGATAGATAGATACTGTGCCAAATGGACCAAAAAGTGGAAACATTTATACCAGCTGAGAAGTTTCTGTAGTTACTGAAGCATGAAGGCTGTAGTTGTGGATTTGAAGTATCAGGATCAAAATACACATGATGGTACAAAGGAGTAATGGAAATAAATTTTCAAAGATAATTGTAAGATGAAAGTCTTAGATGATGAGACACTGAACATGTCAGTGGGGAAGGGATGATAATACTGTGGGAGAAAAATAAATTACAGTTGACTCTTGATCAACATGGGTTTGAACTGCCCGGGTCCACTGATGCACAAATTTTTTTCAATAGATATAGTACAGTATGACTGTACTATAGATGTGTTTTCCCTTCCTTATGATTTTCTTAACATTTTCTTTTCTGTAGCTTGCTATATTGTACGAATACAGTGTGTACTACATATAACATGCAAAATATGTGTTAATCGACTATTTGTTACTGGTAGGGTTCATGTCAACAGTGGACGATTGGTAGTTAAGTTTTTGGGGAATCAAAAGTTAGACGTGGATTTTTGACAGCACAAGGCTCAATGCCCCCAAACCCTGTTGTTCAGGGGTCAACTATAATTTAAAACAAGCATGTTGCAAGCAAAAAGGGGGGTCAAAAATGAAATGGTCTCCTTTTTTAATGAGATATGATGGGCATATAACATTATATCAGTTTCAGGTGTATGGCATGATTTGATATTTGTATACACTGCGAAATGACCAACCACAGTATGTCTAGTAGCCATCCATCAAAAATGGTTTTATGTTGCTTTTATTTTCTAATTTTTATTGTTATTGTTGAGCATATATTGTTTTCATAATTAGAAAAAAATCATTAAGTCCTGCTTATTACATTCAAAGCAATTGTGTATCATTTTTCTATTAGACTAAGTATTGATTTGCCAATTCTTCCTTAAAGAATCAATCTTCAACTTATTAATTCTGCTAAAAAGAATAGTCATACTCTAATGTATTTACTGTACTTTTATTTATTATCCGTAACTTTCTCGTTCCTTCCTTAGGTTTGTTTTACAATTCCTTTTCTCACTTCTTGAGCTAAAGGTTTTGTTGTTTGTCTTCATTCTTTCTTATTTAGTTATAGAGAATTCCATGAACCCACATCTAAGAAAAGCTTTAACCATATATCATGAATTTAGATTTATAATGTTCTAACTGTGGTTAGAACTCTCAAGCATTCTGAAACTGCTATTTTGATACTTTCAATCTCACCCAAGATCTATTTAGGAGGAGGTTTTTAATCATCAAGTCTGTCCTGCATATCCTTTAGTTATTAATTTTCTGTTACTACATCCCAGTCAGCAACTGGGGCTTTTAATCATTTTGAACTTCAATGTAGGTTTTTTAAATGATGCCCAAGTACTTGAAAAAAAATGGGCAATAGATATCTGTGTGGATGTATGGAGAACTGTATGTATGTATATTTGTAATTTTCTACTTGTACTTACAATAGTTTTTGTTATATTTCTTTAAATGCTAACTTATAATAAAAACATGTTGAATTTTACCTGATGGTAAATATTTGATAGTCATTCAGGTAGCAGTGTATGTATGGATCGGGAACGGAATGAAGAGTAGAGACCTTATATGTTGGGATCTGCTTATCACAAACCATGCAACATTATGGAGAAAAACATGTGGCTCCAGGACCACAGGTCAAGTTCTAATTGTTGAACTCTGCTTCATTTTCAACCATCCTTCGACCTTTCAGTCATACCCACAAATCGCTGGCATGGCCTCAGTCTGCTATGCTGGATCCTTTGGCTTAGATGAAGATATAATATATCAAAAGTCACAGGAAATATTCAGTGACTCTCCTAAGAACTCATACTACTATCTGTGGTGATTTTATTCCAGGAGAAAAAGAAATGCTTTATTTTTTTTTTTCCTGGAAAAGTCGTGCAATTTTGCCCTTCCTCATAATTTGAACATGAATTCTAATACTTGGGTAGGTCTGTCAGTTGGGATCATATGCATTTCCTACCCTTTATTTCTTTTACTTAACTAACTTAAAATCTCTGGCCCATAGTCATATAAACTAAGCAAACTATTACATAGACTACAAACCTTGGAGCCAGACAGGTTTAAAACCAGCTTTGCAGCCTTCTTAATTGCATAATTACGGGTAAGCTAATTAACTTTCCTGGTTGCAGATGACAAAAATTTCACTCAAAGAAGTAAGCAAAAATGAGATTTATTATCTCACTCTAAAAAGGATCGGGCCTCAGAGACTCAGCAAATATTAATATTCTTTTTCTCAACATCTTAGTCTTGCTTCCCTCAGTATGTTTGTCCCATTCTTTTGTATAACGGGCAGGATTCTCCCAAAATATATAGGGCAAGAGAGAAGTATGGTTCAGACTTCCATCTTCCCATATAGTGACCCAAGAAGAAAGAAGAACATTTCTTTCTCCCAACATCCAGATATAAAATCCATGATGGGAAACCCCATCAGGATTAGCCATTATGAGATTGCCTGATCCTAAGTTACTTACTTACACCCTGAAGTGCAGGGCAGGGTATTATAATCGTACTGGAGTTAGAAGTAGTTGGGCAGAAGACTTCCACTAAGGAAAGGGGTGGGATGAACAGAAAATGGGGGGAAAGAATGTTGGGAAGGGGGAAAAACCCTGATGCCCCTATAACCCCTAATCCAGCTTCTACAAGTAGAAATTGCGGTTAAAGATAGCATGCACTGATAGGACATGTGTGAGGACCAAAGGAGATAAATCAAGGAAAGCACTTACCCCAAGACCTCCATAATAGGTAGTAGCTACAAATAATAGCTATTTTAGTGGCTGTCAAACTTGAGGATGCCTCTTTGCCACATTGAATGTTTGGTGTCCCCCCTCCCCAAAATTCATATGTTAAAATATAATCCCCATTGTGATGGTATTAGGAGGTGGGACTTTTGAGAAGTAACTAGGTCATGAAGGTGAAGCCTCATGAATGGGACTCGTGCTTTTTTAAAAGATGTTCCAAATAGGTCCCTCCCCTCTCTGTTATGTGAAGACACAGAAAAAAGAGCTATCTATGAACCAGGAAGCTGGTCCCCACCAGACGCTGAATTTGTTAGCACTTTGATCTTGGGCTTTCCAGCCTCTAGAGCTGTGAGAAATAAATTTCTGTTGTTTATAAGCCATCCCCATCCAGTCTATGGTATTTTGTTATAGTAGCCTGAATGGACTGAAATAATTGTCTCTCTAGGGAGCAAATGCAGTATTATATCGTATGTCAGTACTACCTCCAAGTATAACCACAAGGTAGCTCCGATCAGCAGAGAGAGCTCAGAGGAACCTGGCCCAAGAAGCAGTCTTTCTTTTTTTTTCTTTTTTATTTATTTGACAGAGAGAGAACGTGAGAGAGGGAACACAAGCAGGGGAAGTGGGAGAGGGAGAAGCAGGCTTCCTGCCAAGAAGAGAACCCAATGCGGGGCTTGATCCCAGGACTCTGGGATCATGACCTGAGCTGAAGGCAGATGCTTAACGACTGAGCCACCCAGGTGCCCCAAGGAGCAAT